GGGATGCCGGAGGGGATGGGATCGCTGGAGGTGCTCGACGTGAGCGGGTGCTCGCAGCTGGCGGGGGAGGGGTGGCTGCCGGCGTCGAGTGCTGCGAGCGTCAAAATTTTGAATTGCCATGGATGCAGCCTGCGGGGGATGCCGGAGGGGATGGGATCGCTGGAGGCGCTCAACGTGGTTCAATGCAAGAATATCGATCCCTCGGGTCACGACACGAACGTGACTTCCGGCGACCAGCAGGCGTGGCTTCCACTGTCGATCTGCGAGCGCCTAGTGTACCTCCGCGCGTGCTGCAGTTCGCTGCGACGCGTCCCGCGCGGGATGACAGCGCTGGAGCTGCTCGACCTCGGATGGTGCGAGGAGCTGGAGGTGGCGCAGTCTGACCTGCGCCTGCCTGCGCTGAGGGCGGTGTGTCTCGAGGGCAGCAGTGCTGAGGGGCTGCAGCTGTCGTGTGGGGCCAGGTCGGTGCAGGTTGACAGCTACTATATTGACGATGAGGCATCATGGCGCTTTCCAGAACTTGACGAATGTTGGTTTGAACATCAGGAAGCACAGATTTAATCTGCTCTGCAAATTGCACAGCTGCTTCCACATGATGTGATAATCCCTTACTGGGACCACATGAACCGGCGGCCTTCGTGCTCGCACTCCTAGCGCGGCGCGTGTCAGACGCGCCGCTCTCCCCTACTTTCAGCGTGGAAGGTCTCATCCCGCAGTGGCTGACAATGTTCGGCCGCCGCTTTCGAATGGTTAATCTTGCTCACGAGCCTCTATGGCCATCGACAGTTTAAACATTGTGACTCACTCACTCCTGAGATCTCCTGCAGGAGATCTACAGCTTTGTACAGTCTAGATCACCCGCCACGTGCACCGCCTGGAGGACCCGCTGGGGAAGAAGGTGGAGAGGGAGCGCGAGGACCAGGCGATCGGGCTCGCGGTGTGACGCACGAGCACGCGCCGCAGAAGCTGGGCCCTCGTCGCGCGTCGCCTGCGGCCGCCGCCCCAGTATACTAGTGGGGCCTTGGATGCGAAGTTCGCCGATCTGACGACAGCGGGGCGTGTCATGCGCGCGTGGCCGAGGGTCACTCGCAGAGTGCCTCCGGCTCCGTGGTCCGGCCGCTCAGCTACCGGGTGAAACCTCGAGTTGCATCCAATGACTGCTCACATTGTCTACCCTGTCTGCTGTGTGAGTCTCGCCTGCCGTACTATTTCGGTCCCTCAAGCATCCTCGCGGTGAGGATGCCTGTAGGTCAGCGAAGTACAAATCCAAAGTTTGGAGGGCCCTGACTTGATAGGGGTTGTGCGCGCGTTCAGTGCCCCCACGGGCCCGGGCGGCATCACGTGGGTGCGCCTGCAGCGTCCAGGAGTAGTGGTATGGTTTCGAAGCAGCTGCACCACAGAACCATCGCCGTGACGCGAGCGGGCCGTGCAACTGCTTGTAGCAAGTGAGACGCGGGGCGGTGGTCGGGAGACTGGCTTGCGGCGGTTGGTGCCCATCGCACGGCCGTGGTGAAGGTGTGAGCTGTCTCGCGGGCTTCCGTGAGAGTCGCATGGACGGCCCAGCACGGTGCATATGACTCGCGTCTCATGCGCTGGAGGAACCTCATGCTGCGTTCGAGGAGACCCTCGCTCGATTCTCACGATCTCTCACGATAGACATTAGCTGTCGTGATGAGTCCGGCTGCATGCGCGCGCCGGACGGCTCTCACAGCTCCCGCTACCTCACCTGGAATCTCTCTCATTGGCACCCGCAGGACCCGTCCACGGCGCCCGGGCGGCGGCTAGGCATCACCGGCACGATCTCTGCACTCGACGGAGATGCGAAGCGGCCGCTGCGCGGGCGAGCCGCGGCCCTCGCAGCGCCCACACGCTGGTGACGAGGATGGGCCCACATTCACCCTGATGGACCTGTCGTTCGGGCCGGGTGGCGGTCCGCTGGGGGATATCATCCGCCTCCTGCCGAAGTGGTCGCGCGTCGCCCTCGCGGCTGCGTCGTCGGGCGCGATGGCGAGCGTGCTGGAGTGCTGCGACAGTGCTAGATGGACTGCACACACAAGGGAGGTGGGCAGGGCGGTGGCGGGGAAGGTGGAGGGGCGCGTGTACGCGGGGGCGAGATCGGTGGTGGGGCGGACGAGCGACGACGCGCGGTGGGTGGTGTACCGGCGCGCGGGTGCGGACCCCGACAGCGTGGCGGCGATCGTGCGGCTGGAGGCCAGGCGGTCCGACCAGGGAGAGGGGCCCGTGGCGGACGCGCACCAGCTGGTGATCACGGAGGAGATGACGGGGCTGGAGGTCGTCAGGGCGTCGAGGGTTTTCTTTGACATCGCTGAGGAGTGGGGGGGGGGCTGGCTGCCTGCAGGCGTCGCGGCGCGGTTGAAGGAGCTGGCGGTGAACGGGCAGAAGCTGCCGGAGGGGATGACGTCGCTGGAGGTGCTGGACGTGAGCGGATGCAAGCAACTGGACGAGGAGGGGTGGCTGCCGGTGTCGTGTGGGGCGAGCGTGAAGAAGCTGGTTGCTGCGGGCTCGAGGCTGCGGAGGGTGCCGGAGGGGATGGAGTCGCTGGAGGTGCTGGACGTGAGTCGGTGCGAGCAGCTGGACGAGGAGGGGTGGCTGCCGGTGTCGTGTGGGGCGAGCATGAAGAAGCTGGTTGCTGTGGGCTCGTGGCTGCGGAGGGTGCCGGAGGGGATGGAGTCGCTGGAGGAGCTCGACGTGGGTGCATGGAGCTGGCGGAGGAGGGGTGGCTGCCGGCGTCGAGCGGCGGGAGCGTGAAGAAGCTGATGCTGACTCCTCGCTGGCGAGGGTGCCGGAGGGGATGGGGTCGCTGGAGGAGCTCGACGTGAGTGGTGCGAGCTGGCGGAGGAGGGGTGGCTGCCGGCGTCGAGCGGCGGGAGCGTGAAGAAGCTGGTTGCTCATACTGCTCGCTGGCGAGGCTGCCGGAGGGGATGGGGTCGCTGGAGGTGATCGACGTGAGACGGTGCGCGAAGCTGGCGGGGGAGGGGTGGCTGCCGGTGTCGAGCGGCAGGCGCGTGAAGAAGCTGGTTGCTGCGTACTCCTCGCTGGTGAGGCTGCCGGAGGGGATGGGGTCGCTGGAAGAGCTGAACGTGCGTGAATGCAAGGAGCTGGCGGAGGAGGGGTGGCTGCCGGTGTCGAGCGGCGGGAGCGTGAGGCACTTGTGTGCTAGTGGCTCGTCGCTGGCGAGGCTGCCGGAGGGGATGGCGTCGCTGGAGGTGCTGCACGTGAGAAAATGCAAGCGGCTGGCGGAGGAGGGGTGGCTGCCGGCGTCGAGTGGCGGGAGCGTGAGGGAGCTGCATGCCGACGACTCATCGCTGGCGAGGCTGCCGGAGGGGATGGCGTCGCTGGAGGCGCTCAGCGTGGGTGGATGCAGGAAGATCGACCTGTCTGAGATTGATACGTCGCCTGGTGATCGGCAGTCGTGGCTCCAACCGTCGAGCTGCGAGCGCCTGGTGTACCTCCGCGCGCGCGGCAGTTCGCTGCGACGCGTCCCGCGCGGGATGACAGCGCTGGAGCTGCTCGACCTCGGGTGGTGCAAGCAGCTGGAGGTGGCGGAGGATGACCTGCGCCTGCCTGCGCTGAGGGCGGTGTGGCTCGAGGGCAGCAGTGCTGAGGGGCTGCAGCTGCGAGGTGGGCCCAGATTGGTGCGGGGTGTCACCGAAATGAGAGCTTCGGACTTCCCACAAGCAGGAAAATATTGGAACTTAGGTGCTCCGTATAATGGGTAGTCTACACCGCAGCTCCACCCGTGTAACAGCCCGTCACAGAGCTGCAGCTGTAGCGGGCAGTGCTACAGCTGCAGGACAGCACTGTGCTGTCCTGCTTGGTCAAGCGTTGTGACGAACGTTTCCACCGTAGCGACCACGCGCATGACCGGTGCCCAACTGGCCTGACCGCGATACCGGCACGCCAGGAATGCGGGCGACGGCCTCGCATGAGGTAGGCGGGATATGGACCCGTACCAAAAGTGCTACGCGCCCCCATGCGCCAGTAATGGTCCGCGCTTGTTCTCTCCGAGGCGTACTCCACCCAGCCCGACAATCCCACGAAGTTCGCGAAGGCCTGCTGCACCCGTGCCCCTACGTCGGTGCGGTGGCAGCGTGGATTCACACCCCCCGGGGGGACTGGCACACTGACTCATGTCCGTTGGGCTCTTGACGTGCTGCTGGACCGAGGCACAAAGGACCGTCGTCGCCTGGGGTCGTTCAGAGACTCACACAGCACGCTGTGCGCTTCCTGAACGATCCCCGCATTGTCTCTGTCGTGCAGGTGTGTGTACAACGTGCATGACTGCTCACATTGTCTACCCTGTCTGCTGTGTGAGTCTCGCCTGCCGTACCATTTCGGTCGCTCCGGCATCCTCACGGTGAGGGTGCTTGTAGGTCAGCGAAGTACAAAGATGCCTGCAGGTCAGCCAACATTGTTGATTGACAATCAATGCACGCGCGCTTTCTCTCATGAGCCAAAGGCTCTGCGGGCGATCCTGCCATTTCCGCCAGGAGGCTGGCAGCTCTTCTTTTAGTCGCGCTGCTTCCCATAGCGGCACGGAGGCAGTTCACCAGCCTGCTTGTGGCGTCATGAGAATGACAGTGGTCGTGGATCGTGTGCTGGTCCGGGATCGTGGCAGCGAGAGCGCGCACGTCGCTCTCACGATCGGTCGTGTCGGGGGATGCGGATGCGTTCCATGCAAACGACGCCGAAAGTGTGCAGGACCATGGTGGTGGAGAGGTTGGAATACCGCACGACGTCGAGGGGCGCGAGACATGAGCGTTTGTCGTGGTGGGAGGTCGTGAGCGCGACGCTCGGGCGCCCCACGAGCACAGGCAGGCCGGACATCAATCACGTGCACCGCTGTCTGTGAGGCCCCCCCGGGGAAGTGGGCAGGAACGCGAGGACCAGGCGAGCGCGTTCGCGGCGTGACGCACGCACGCACGCCCACAGCGCGCATCACACGCTCCGCCTCGCCGCCTGCCCCGCCCGCGCCGCGTTCACGCCTCCTTGAGCGCCATGTCCTGGCGGCCCGGTCCGACGCCGATCCACACGATGGGGAGCCCGAGGAGCTCCTCGCACCGCTCGACGTACTTCTGCGCCGCGGGCGGGAGGTCCGCGAACGAGCGGCACTTGGAGATGTCGTCCTTCCAGCCCGGCATGGTCTCGTACACCACCTCGACGCGCTCGAGGTCCTGCACGCACGCCGGCGGCACGGCCACCTCGGCGCCGTCGAGCTTGTACCCGACGCCCAGCTTGATCTCGTCCTGCCCGCTCAGCACGTCGAGCTTCGTCAGGTTGACGCACGTGATCCCGTTGACGTCGCACGCGTACCGCAGCGCGGGCACGTCCAGCCACCCGATGCGCCGCGGCCGGCCCGTCGTGGTCCCGTACTCGTACCCCGCCGCGCGCAGCTCCTCCGCGAGGTCCCCGAAGATCTCCGTCGGGTACGGGCCCGACCCCACGCGCGTGGTGTAGGCCTTGGCCACGGCGATGATCGCGCCGAGCTTCTGCGGCGCGAGGCCCAGGCCCGTGATGATCCCCCCGATCGACGGGTTCGACGACGTCACGAACGGGTACGTCCCGAAGTCGATGTCGAGCATCGTCGCGTTGGCGCCCTCCACGAGGATCTTGTCGCCGCGGTTGTACGCGCCGTTGACCAGCGCCACGCTGTCCGTCACGTACGGCAGCAGGCGGTCCTTCAGCGGGCCCGTGTACCGCGCCAGCTCGGCCTCCACGTCGTACTCGATGTCCGGGAACCGCTTCATGGCGTCGGCGCACAGGGCGCGGAACTTCTCCGCAAACTGCTCGGGGTGCCGCAGCTCGCCGACGCGGATGCCGTTGCGCGTGGACTTGCTCGCGTAGCACGGCCCGATGCCGCGCTTCGTCGTGCCGATCATCGACCCGGCCAGCTCGGCCTCGCGCGCGCCGTCCACCTCCTTGTGCAGGTCGAACAGGAGGTGCGCGCGGTCCGAGATGGCGATGCGGCCCTCGCACTGCACGCCCTTGGCCTGCAGCTTGTCCACCTCCTCGAAGAACCCCGGGGCGTGCATCACCACGCCGTTGCCCACCACGCACTGCGCGCCCTGGTTCAGGATGCCTGCGAGGCCGACGAGAACGCGCCGCGCCCGTCAGCCGCGCCGCGCGACAGACACCCCTCCTGCACGGCGGCCGCCGTCTCCGGCCAGGGCGGCCTCGTGGGCGCGCGCGGCGCCGGCGCGTGTGCGACGCGTGGACGGGAGCTCGCTCAGCGGGGCCCCGCGCACCGGGCGCCCGGGTGCCCACGGCGGCGCCGAGGCTGCGCGATGGGCGTGCGGCTCACCTGATGGCACGAGGTGCAGCGCGTACTTGTTGCCCGCGTCGTCGTAGATGGTGTGTCCCGCGTTTGCACCGCCCTGCGCCCGCGCAACCATCTGGTACTCCTTCGCCAGGATGTCCACCAGCTTGCCCTTCCCCTCGTCGCCCCACTGCGTCCCCAGCACCACGCACACCTGCTCCCCCCTCACGCTGTCCACCGTGCGGTGCTGCGCGGGCGCCGCAGCCGCGCGCACCCGCCTCGCGGCAGCACCGCCGCGGCCGAACCGCGCCGGGGCCGCCCTGCAGCGGAGGTAACGACCGGAAGCGGGCGGCGTTGGGTTCGTCGTCGGAGCGGGCGCACGCTGTGCGCGGACTGGCAGGGGGAATGTCACTTGCAACACACTCGCCGTGGCCGCGTCACGTGGTGGTGCGTGGAGAATCTACAGGCTGAGGTACCGAACAGCGCGTTACGCGACAGGCAGGCCATGAAGAGCCCGGTTGTGCGCGTTTCGGGGCGCGCAGTCATGGGCGCAGCGAGGACTTTGCGCCAGCGCTAGCGCGTGGCTCGTGCGCACGTCTCTCAACGCCGCGGTGCGAACGGATAGTCGTCGTGGATGCGCTCGGGATGGTCGTTCGAGAGCAGCGCGCGCCTGATCCGGCGTGGTTCGCACCTGGTGCTGCTCAGGGCACAGAGCCTTGGCCGCGCCGGTGGCGGCGCCACCTCGCGCACGCGCGGGTGCGCCAGCGGCATGTATTGGAGCGTCTGCAGCAACGGAGATCACGAGCGGGAGACGGGTGATGGTCGACGTGCGCGGCCAGGGCCACAGCTCCTCTGCATGGTCTCATCTGGCCGGTCGAGGGCACCCGCTCGGGGCGCGGCCAGAGAGGAGCGCGACGCGGACGAACAAAACGAATTCTGGCAGCTCGGGCGAGAAAACGCGCGCCCCGGCGGCGGTCGAGTGACGCCCGCGAGGCGAGACTGCCGCCAGATTCTCGTCCGTTTGTGCACGCAGCCGGGAGAATGAACGGGCGACATTGGGGCCGTACCTGCATGTCGGCAAGGTCCTCGCAGCCACGCGGGGGGCGGCGCCGCGGCCCGGTGAGCCCCGCCGGCAGCGTACGAGGCACTGCTGTCAGGGTCATGCTACATCAGGCCCCCGCGCTGCCTGGCGCGCTCGATTCCCGCGCGGACCGGCCGGGCGGCTGCACAGCCGCTCAGGCACTGCGGTCGCCCCACTCGGACAGATCTCGCTTTCTCAGCGACGCACGATTTCCCACTTTCCTCTGTAGTTCCTTCAAGAGGGGCGCCCTGCACCTCTCCCGTCGCGCCCTCGCGCTTCCGGGCACGCGTGATCTAGCGGTAGTCCGCCGCAGCAGTTGGTTCTCGCGGCTCGCCCGTCAGGACAGCGGGTGGCGCGCGCACCCCCAACCGTGGCGCCCTGCGCCTCGCGGCGGCCCCGGGGGCGGGAGGCGCGGCTCACGTTCGCTTCCGTTTGAGCCGACAGTCCATCGGAGCACGTTGGGCTGCTCTCAGAGGGCCGGGGCGGAGCAGGTAGGCTCGGGCGCGCATGCCACGCCACGGAGCGGGCGAGATTCCTCCGTCCACGGCACCGCGCCCTGACCACGGTGCTCGCCGACACGCACTGCACGTGGCCCCAGCGCCTGTGCACAGCGACAGGCCCCGCTCCGTTGCCGCAGGACGCCGTCCCGCGGCGGTAGCGGGGTGCCGAGGCAGGGATGCCAGCGTCACCGCGCGCCGCTGCGGGGGGGGCCGCCCCCCTGGCCGACATCGACGAGGAGGCGATCGAGGCCCTGCCGCTCACGTCCCACCGCGACCACGAGCGCCCGTCGCACCGCCCTGGGCCCGTGCACAAGCACGACGCCGCCGCGTTCCCGTGGCGCAAGGTGGCGCGCGTGCTGTTCCTCATCGCGCTGTGGTACTCGCTGAGCACGGCGCTGACCCTGTACAACAAGATCATCGTGTCGGGGGAGCACGGGTTCGTGCCGGAGAAGTTCCCGTGCCCGCTGCTGATGACGGGCACGCAGTTCATGATGCAGGCCGTCATCTCGCGCAGCGTGCTCCTCGCGCTCGGCCGCGCGCAGGAAATCACCAACATGAGCTGGAAGAACTACTGGCACGGCGTCGTCCCCAACGGCGTCTCCACCGGTGCGCCCGCAACCACGGCAACAACGTTCACAACGTGCACAACGACAGCGACAGCCCCCTCCCCCGGCACGACGCGCGCCGTCCACGCCCTGCAACGCGGCCCCCGCTCCCCGCCCCGCGTCGCAGGGATGGACATCGGTCTGTCGAACATGTCCCTGGCCTTCATCACGACGTCCTTCTACACCATGTGCAAGTCCACCGCGCCGGTGTTCCTCCTCATGTTCGCGTTCGTGTTCCGCCTCGAGCGCCCGAGCTGGTCCCTCGGCGGCATCGTCGCGGTGATCTTCCTCGGCCTCTTCTTCCTGGTGTACGGCGAGACGCGCTTCGACCTGTTCGGGTTCGTGCTGGTGATGCTGGCGTCGGCGCTGTCGGGGTTCCGGTGGACGATCACGCAGATGCTGCTGCAGGGCGGGGAGGGCGCGGCGCACGGCGCGGGCCTGCACAGGATGGGCGCCGTGACGGTGCTCTCGGTGCTGACGCCCGTCATGGGCGCGGTCGTGCTCTTCGTGTCGCTCGTCTACGAGCAAGTCTGGAACGCCCTGCCCGGCACGCCGTTCTTCGCGTCCCCCGCGGCCATCGGTGCGCGCCCCACGCCGACGTGAGACCGCGACGAACCCCCCGCTCTCCGCGCGCGTCCCGCGGCGACCCCTCCCGCGCGCCGCTCCCCGTCGCCCGCAGCGATGTCGTTGTTCGTGGTGTTCGTGGGCGCGAACGTGGCCTTCCTGATGGTGGTGGTGGAGTTCCGCGTCATCCAGGAGACGTCGGCGCTGACGCTCATGGTGGCCGGGTCGTTCAAGGAGATCGTCACGGTGCTCGCGGCGGTGCTGCTCTTCCACGACACGTTCACGGCGGTGAACGGCATGGGCCTGTTCATCCTCCTCGTGGGTGTGTCTCTCTTCAACCTGCACAAGTACTACCGGTTCAGACAGCACGGCAAGGGGGGCGGTCCGGGCGGGCACGCGGACGCGGCCGGGCGGCCCGAGGAGCACAGGCGGACGGGCGGGGCGGAGCAGGAGATGCACGCGATGCACGCGGCGCAGGCCGCGGGTGCGCGGACCAACGGGGGGGGCGGGCAAGAGCCCACGTGGCGAACGAGCGCGGACTGATGTGATGCGATGCGATGCGATGCGGCGGCGTGGTCGCACGGCGCTGCTCAGCAGGCCGTGTCTGTGCGTGTGTGTCGGGCCCTGACTCAACACCATCGTTTGGGTCCGACAGACAGACAACGACGGCGCGGGGTCGTTGGCGCGCTGGATGCGGCCGCGCGGACGTCCATGGCGCGCGCCGGAGCCGCAGTGCGTGCGCCGCGCGATGTCGGGGGGCCTGCCGTACGACCGGGTGCGCTGGGGGAGGGAGAACGTGCGGCTGGAGCACCGGGAGGGCAAGGGGAGGTGCCTGGTGGCGGCGCGGCCGGTCGCGCGTGGGAAGACGGTGTTCGTGGAGGACCCGTTCGCCGCGGTGCTGCACGACGAGGCGGTGCGCCGCGACCCCACCACCTGGCGGTTCGTGGCAGGGCCGCGAGACGAGCGGGTCGCGCCGTTCTGTTTGGACGCGGCAATGCTCCGTCGCTGCACCAGATGGCGTCTGTGCTTTGACGAGCATGAACGCGTGGGACGCGCCTAGGAGCGCGCCGCTGAGACGGCAGCCCTACGGCTGCCCTGTTGCTGCAGCTCGAGGACTACTGCGCCTGGACGTTCAAGAAGTCCGACTCGCTGATGCGGTGCGCGAGGTCGAAGCTGTATAGGTACTCGTCCCAGGACGCCCTCAAGGCCCACTTCGAGAACGGCTACAAGGAGGAGGCCAAGGCCCTCAAGCGCAGACTGTGCGACCCGCCCCCCGCGCCGACACGCGCGTGCTTCGCTCCCATCCACGCGCGGCGCATGTAGGTCGCGTCTGGAGCTCGCCCGCCGCGAACGGAAGCGTTGGCGCGAGCGTGCCGCGCAGGCCCGCGACGACGACGACGAGGCTGGTGTCGTGCATTGCGCGCGAGCTGCTGGGGCGCACGGTGCCGCTCAAGGAGGCGATGGGCCCGCGCGGCGAGGAGGGGTACGCGACGCTCGTCCACGGCGCGATGAGGGACTTTGCGAGCGACTGCAGGCTGTCGGACGACATGAAGATGGCGTGGGCGTCCAAGGCGCGGGTGTCCGCGGCGCTCGTCGAGGCGGGCGCGCCGGACTGCGACAAAGGTGCGCGCGGACGACCACGGGCTGGCCGCGGTCGGCTCGTCGCGTGCTCCGCCCCTCGCCCCCGACGACGGCGCGCGTCGCGCCCCCCCGGTGCAGGTTCGGGGATGGTGGCCCTCAGCGACGACGCGCGGGGCAAGCTGATCAAGGGCTGCTACCACCTGATGTGCGTCGTGCTGTGCAACTGCCACACGGTGTCCGACGGCCACGACGACGGCATCGGCACCGCGCTCTACTTCCTCGGGTCCTCCATGAACCACGACGACGACCCCAACGCCGTCCACGTGCGCCCGCAGCGCCGCACGCACCGCGCGCCCGCGCACCGCGCCTGCGCACCGCGCCCGCGCACCGCGCGCCCGACGGCTCCCTCTGCCGCCCTCACCCGCAGGTGTTCCGCGGGCGGCAGCTGCACATCGTCGCGGGGCAGGACATCCGGCCGGGCGACGAGATCTGCATCGTGTACGAGGACCTCGAGCAGCTGGCGGCGCAGCGCCGCATCGCGCTCCTGACGCCGCTCTCGCACAACTTCGACTCGTGCCCGCCGACCGTGCAGCCGCGCCCGCCCCTCGGCGTGCCGCCCGAGGCCGTCGACGCGTGGAAGCTCGGCTCCGTCGCGGACCGCTCGGGCCCCCCGGGCGCCGCCGGCTACGGCGCCGAGCGCGAGGAGGTCATCCTCCACGACTGCCCGCTCAGCGAGGCGCTGTGGACGGTGGACCGCGACGAGCGGCTCACGCTCATGGAGGGCCCCGGCGGCGCGACGTGCCACGTGGCGGTGCTGACGCCCAAGTGCCTGACGGTGCCGCCCGACGCGCTGTGCGGGCCGCCGCCGCCGCGGTACGTGCACGTCGCGCAGTGGTTCCGGCGGAGCGACGTCGCGGGCCCGAGGCTCCCCGAGAGCGAGCTGCGCTCGGCGGCGTCCGTCGCGCTGATGATGGGCAAGATGAACGACGGGATGGACATGGCGTGCGAGTGGGGGCGGCACGACCTGCTCCCGCGCGCGGCGATGGACGCGTTCAGGAGGACGCAGGAGCGGTGGAGGTGCGCGCCGGCGCACTTCCTGATGCAGCGGGCGAAGCGCCAGAGCCTGGACCGCCTGGTGCAGTCCAAGTGGTTCAGGGAGGCGCTGGCGCCCGCGCGGGAGCGGGCGCAGGTGGAGCGCTGGGCGTGGCCCGAGGAGTGGCCGCTGCTCGGGCTGACGTTCGCGCGGCTCGCGAAGCTCGAGATGCTGGAGGGGGACGCCGGCGCGGCGCGCGACGCGGCGCGCAGGGCCGTGCACCTCCTGGGCGACGCGATGAGCGCCGAGGTCAAGGCGGAGGTCGACGGCGTGCTGGCCGCGGCGGCGGCGGCGGGCGCGAGCTGACGGCGCGGGGGCGGGGTGCGTTGTGTGTGACGACGGTTCGGTTCACGGTTCGCGGCGCCGCTACTGGTCGCCCTCGAGCGCCCGGACGAGGAGGATGAAGTCCTTGACCGACAGGTCCTGCGCGCGGGCGGTGGTGGGGAGCCCCGCCTGCTCCAGCGCGTCCTCCGCGGCCTCGACGCTGTACAGCGCCTTGAGGTTGTTCTTGATCTGCGTCGTGCAGCGCGGCGGGAGGGAGGGGGGGACGTTCGCGCGGGTCCGTCAGTCGGAGGGGGATGCGCGTTCGCACGCGCAGGTTGCGGTCGCGCACCATCTTCCTGCGCGACGAGAAGGCCGCGTTCACGACGACGAGGAACCGCTCGACCGACGGCAGGCGCGGGAGCTCCCCGGGGCGGCGCAGCTCGAAGCGCGCCAGCGCCGAGTCCACGTTGGGCGCGGGGAAGAACGACTTGCGCGAGACCCAGAGGAGGTACTTGGGGCGCGAGAAGAGCAGCGCCTGGATGTTGACCGCGCGGTAGTCCGCGTCCCCCGGCCGGCTCGACGTGAGGCGCTCGGCCACCTCGTGCTGCAGCATGACGCACAGGTCGGCGAGGTGGTCGCCCATGGGCAGGCAGCGCTTCATGAAGTCCGTCGTGATGTTGTACGGCAGGTTGGCGACCACGCGGACGCGCCGGCGCACGCCCGGCGCCCCCCGCGACGCGTCGGCCTGCGCCCAGTACTGCGTGTTGACCTTGCGCCGCCGGAGCCGGTCCGCCGCGTCGACCTCGTCGCCGGACCAGAACGCCTCGTCCTGCATCGCCTCGACCATCCCTGCGCGGATGGGGAAGGGGGGGGCTTGGGTCGCGCACTGGGGAAATCATGGAACGGACACGACGACGCGACGCGTCGCGCGTGCGGCTCACCGGGGATGTCGACCTTGAGCACGTCGACGTTGATGGCGCGGATGCGGTCCGCGGCGTCCGCGGGCGCGTCCTTGACCAGGCGCTCGAACAGGCGCGTGTCCTTCTCCACGCACAGCACGCGCGCGCCGGCGTCGAGCAGCCGCCGCGTGAGGTTGCCCGTCCCGGGCCCGACCTCGAGCACGAGGTCCCCCTCGACCACGCCCGCGGCGGCCACGATCTCCTCGAGCACCGTCGCGTCGGTCAGGAAGTTCTGCCCCAGCGACTTCTTGGCGCGCAGCCCCTCGAGGTTGAGCTCGCCCTTCGTGTCGGCCGCGTCCAGCGCCTGCCAGAGCCACCCGCGCTGCTGCCCCGCTGCGGCGGCGGCGACGCGAGGGGGCGGGAGGCGTGCTGACGCGCGGCGGGCGGCGCGCGTGCATGTGCGTGCGTGGGACGAGGCCAGGAGGAGCGGCGCACCTCCGTCGCCCTCGCTCGGCCACTCGACCGGCACGGACGTGTCCCACTTCTTCCTGAAGTACTCCTCCGTCTGCTCCGCCTCCGGCACGGCCCGCTCCTGCGCCGACGCCCGCGCCGGCCCCTCGCCCTCCCTGGGTGGCGGCGCCGTCCTCGGGCGAGGCTGGCGCCGCTTCCGCCCCCCCGTCGCCTGCGGAATGTGCGGGCGCGCCGGCGTGCACGCGGTGTGAGGAGCACCGTGCAGGCGGGGCCAGGAGCGCCCCCCCCCTGCAGCGCGCGGCACGTCGCTGCAACCTCCTCCTCCCTGCGGCAACCGCCTCCCGCCCGCGGGGCACTCACCGCGCCTCCCCGCGACTGCCCCCACTTCTCCTTCTTGATGCGGATCGGGGGCTCGCCCTCCCTCCGACCGTCCCCGACCGGCGACTGCTTCTGCGCGGCCGCGACGACGACGCGGGGCGCTCGTTGTGCGGTGCCGAGGCAGCAGCGCTCGCGCGCCGCCGCCCGGGGCGCGCCGACCCGCGTCGGGACCGGGACCGCGTCGGTCGCGAAGCGCACGGGCCCGCCGCGCGCCGCGTCGCAGCCGCGGCACGGCGCGGCGCGGTGCAAGCACGCGCCCCCCGGGCGGGCGGCGAGCGACATGGCGTGGCTCGTGTCTGCGGAGGAGGGGGAAGCGGCGTGACGGCCGGCGACCTCGATCTGCGCGGCGCCGGCGAGGCCACGGCCCGTCGTCTCGGGCGCGAGGTGCGTCGGGGTGGTGTCGGACTCGGCCACCCCCCCTGTGTAAAAACGGGGTGCACCGCTCTTACGAGCGAGGCACAGAGAGGCGTAGACGTGTGAGGACTCACATGGCAGCGCTCCCTCGCCGCCCCTCGTGCCGCACTGCCGCCCACGTACCCCTGAGTCAGCCAAACAGGGGCCTGATGTCAGCGCCACTGTTGCACTGCTAACCCTCCAAGAGACTCGCTGCCTCCGATGGCGCCCTAGTGCCGGTCGGCAGCGCCGAAGTCATGCGGCTCGTCGTAGTCGTCGTGAGTCGTCCTGACGTTCGTGTCGTCCTTGTCTTGGTGCATGACTGCCTTGACATGCATCTCATCCGCGATTCCTCCTCTTCTGGACTGGCACGAAGTACGTATCAACGCCATATCTCAAGGGCTTGGTTGAAGCTTGGCGCTCCGAACCCCGACAGCCTCTCGAGCACCTTCCTTGGAGCGAGGTGCGCTCCTGACTGTTCGCTGCTGCGACTTCGCTCGGTTCGTATTCCGCGCAGACGAGTCGCTATGGGTACTCTCCTTGATCCTCGACGGTATTTCTGAGAATGTTTCCGATGATTGATAGAACCAACACCGCATTCGATGGCATCCCCACGGAGCTTTCGCCAAGCAGCCAGCCACTGTTGCACCCCGCCCTGATGCAAGGGGGTGGTTTGTGCCTGGTGTGCGCCGCGGGACGTGTGCGGCGCGCGCGACGGTCCGCGGGCATCCGTCGGGGGGGCCGTGCGTCGTGCCGCGAGGGCAACGGCGGTTCCGGCGTTGGCCGCGTCGAACGCGATGCCGGCGACGGCATGCTGTCGTTCTTGCTCTCGCCGACTCTCACGGGACTTTCCTGGCCGCGCGGCCGTTCCGCGCCGGCACCGTCGTGCTGTGCAACAGTTTCTAGGTCTCGCCGGCTTTCGGGGTGCTCGGCGATGTTGCGAACGCCGCGAAAGTGTGCGGCATAAATCAATCTTCAGGTAGACTGTTCTACAACCGACAAATTGTGCTGCGGGTAAGCAAAAACCCGTGCTGCGTGCATAGAAAATGCAAGGGCCGCGAATGTGGCTATCAGCTAACCTGCCCGGTTAGCTCAGTCGGTAGAGCGCAAGGCTCTTAACCATAACCTCATGGTTGGAGACTGCGACCTTGTGGTCACGAGTTCGAGCCTCGTACCGGGTATTAACACTTTTGCACGTATTTGTGGGGCCCAGGAGGTGGCCTGGGCCTCGGGGAGGTCTTACGCACGTCCCCAGACGTCCTCCAGCTTGTTTCTGCACCCGCCGCCCCGCCCGCCGCCCGCTGCCCGCGCCCGCCCTGCGGCAGCTGACCCTACGTGCGTGCGCCCTGCTGCCGCGACCGCAGCTCCAGCGCGGTCCGTACGACGCGTGCGCAACACTTTTTGTGCTTGCGCGCCGCACGCCGAGCGCCCGCCGCCGCGCCGCCCAGGTCGCTCGCACGCCGCGCCGTGCTCCGCCAGCGCCGTTCGCGCAGGCAGGCGCGCGCGTGCGGCAACGCGCAGCCTCACCGCTGCCCACCGCCACGCCGGCGCGACGAATCATCACCGTCGCGCAAACGCACGTTCGGCCCGCCCAGGCCCTACTACTCGACGCCGCCGCGGGCGCGGGACCGCCATGCTCTGCGCGCACCCGCCGCGCTCCAGGCCTCCCGGCGCCGACCGACGGCCACGGAGCGACCGTTTGTGCGACGTTGTGCTTGCCATGGATGCCGATTGGATCGCCAGATATGAATTCTCGACTGTTGTTCGTCGCGCTGGAGCGCCATCGTCGGACACCGCTGCGCGACCCCCGGTACTGACTCATGAGCACCGCGCGCCTCGGCGCAACGCACAGCTGCGATGATGCGCGGCACGCAGCGGACCGGTGGACAGAGCCTCTCAGAGGCCCCACGCCCCCGAAACAGTCATCAGGCGGCGCCAAGGGGGCGCGGAGATAGCGCTCCAGCGACTTCCGCTGCATTCGTGGCCATGAGGGTCGTCCGCGACATGGTGGCTCCCGCGACGGGGGCTGGCCAGGCTACGCAGTCCCACCAGCGGGCGCCTCGGGCGCGCGCAGGGCCTGCGTGCCGCGCACGACCCCGGCTGCACACCAGTCCCGTGCGGGTAGGAACCGCCGCCAGGTTCGGTCCCCGCACCAGCGCCCGCCCTGGCGCGCTGCAGCAGGCGGCCGCGCATGCTTGGTTGCGTCCACCGCGGCTGGCTGAGAGCCCCGCCCTCGCCGTTCCCAGGCAGAACGTCATGCATACATGTTTGACTGTTCGCAACTTGTAGGAAACGCGCCGTGCGCCCGCGTATGCCCCGCAGTGGCGACGTGCAGCCCCTTGTTCTTGTTCTCGGCCCCCGGCGCGAAGAGGACCCGCACGATCGCGAACGGGGCCTCTCGCTGCGCAGGATGTGAGCGAGGTCGAGATCCGCGACCGCGCGCGTCTCCAGAGACCGCATCGGGGCCGATGTGCGTCGAAGAGGCACATGTCGGCAACACAGGTGAGCGCACGTGCTGCGCGCGGCGGGGTCGTCCGGGCGCTGCGTGCCGGGCACGCCGCCTCGCCGCGCAGCCGCGGAGCTGTAGCTACGCGCTGCCACCGCGGAACGGTCGCGCGGCACTCCCACGTCGCGCTGGGCGACTTGAGCGTCGCGCGCCCAGGGCCACCCGAAGAAGGAGGCCCGCGGACCACCGCGGCCTGACGATCCCTCCTCGCGGGCGCAAACGACCCCCCCTTGCGGATGGGCGCGCGGCGGCCCGCGCGACGCAACGAGCACCCCGCGCGACACGATCGTGGGGATCGAACCACAACAACACGAACGTGGGGATCGAACCGCCTCCTCGGCTTGCGTCGCGGCGCACGACGCGTCGACCGGATCGGGCGCTCGACTCCGGTCCGTCATCCCAGGCGCGCCGCGGCCGCGCGCCCCCCGCGGCCTGCCGGGTCACATCGAACGCCAGCGAGACCCCCCCCCCGGCGCCGGCGGTCGGGATCGCGCGCGCGACGTTGCGGCGCGGAGCGCCGGCGGCCGGATAGACTGCGTTTCGTCTTTCGCGGGACCGATCGGGCCAATCTTCGTACTCTCCGTCCGTGGAACGGAGGAGCAACCACAGCCCCAGGTGAGCGACTTGCGCAGCAGGCCCGCGAGGCAGCCGCACCGCGCCACCCGGCCCGCCAACCGCGAGAGATAATTGTGCGGCGTCCATGCGCGCGCGTGCGGGACCACCAGCGCGCACTGCGCCCCCGCGCCGCCGTCGTGCTCTGCCCCCATGGACTCCACGCTCGCGCTTCCCGAGGCGCCCGCCCGCGGCCCTGAGCCCGCGTGTTCCCGCTCCTTGCATCGCGACGTATGTCCC